AAAAAAACCCAAACCACCCAAACAAGCACTACAAACAAAAAAGGCCTTGGCCAACTATTTGAAAGCCAAGCTTTCCTCATTTTCCTCATTACTTTGGTCCTTTGACAGCCTCAGTGCAACCTGAATAGAGCAATCCCTTTCTGTTACACTGGAGGGTGAGATTTGAGGGAAGCAAGGGAGGAGAAGGGTGATAAATATAAGCAGTTGATAGGTGACACGCATGCATTTAAAGTTGGGGCAAGGAAATTCTGAATTTCTGTTATAACAGGAATTTCCGTTATTTTGAAATACCGTTAATCTCTGGCTGCCTTTTCCATGTAGCAAGGAAGTGAATGGGGTAGGTTAGGGTCAAAGGAGCCAGTCTCATGTGAGTGCTTGGCCACCTCAGAGCTGCTTTTGCTCAGGATGACAAGGGCTTGGAAGTTAATTTGTATTAAATTAGTCTTCTAAGTTTTTAGATGCTCTTGTGATCAACACAGGGGGAACTGTCCTTTTAGCTGTGAAATTTATCTGAGATGTTCCAGGAGTTAGTTTTAATTCAGAAGAACAGTTGTCTGGTACTAGAGGATACTGGTGTGCTTCTTTCATCTCGACGTCCAAGATATGTAAGGGGTCTAGCATGGATCAACACCTGACATTACTGACCTCTGCTGAAACAGCTAGCACAGTCTATAATTTGTGTTCTTGTGGGTTGTCTGGCCTATACTCAGTCCAGTGAAGAATGTTGCTACTGGTATTAGAGATGGTGAAAGCAGTGCGAGGAACACAGCTGATGCTTGCATTTATACTGGAAGGAAAGAACAATTATCAGTGAAGGTCATGGGCTGAAATAGAGATCTGGGAAGCTGCTGAACTTGGCTTGTATTTAAATGTCTGATACATTGGCTCTAGCCAAATTCTTTGAGATTTCCAGGAATAACTCTTTCGTGGGAAGTAAGGGGCAAATGATAAATAGGCTTACCTCCTTAGCCTAGGAAACAAGTGTTGGAAACTGGCTTGTTGAGAGATGTAGCCAGCTTTCCTCTGAGGACAGCCCACAGGCCACCCACTTTGAGCTGCGGTGCATTGACAGTTACAGAATGGCACTGTGAAACCAGTGGAAATCATGTCTCCTTCCTGAATTTTACTGAGGATTGGTGTACTTGTTCTTGAGGTGTATTGACCATTCTCAACCCATAATAGGATTTAAGATTGAATGCTTTATTTTCTAGTGACTTAATAGAATATTTTACAGTAGAAAGATGTGTTTTATATGTGACACCCTTACACTCTTCTTTCTATCAGTTGTTTACAGAATATGGAAGACTAGCTATGGAAGAAATTTACCAAAAGCCGTTTCAGGTAACTATATATGTTAAATGGATCTTAAACAATTGAATGTGTAGAAAATGAGTTGAGCCCGTTTAAAGGCTTAAATGGGCTGAAGCTAGCCTGTTCTTTACAAGACTGATTTTCCTTTCCTGCCACCACGTTTCTTGGCAAAAACACAATGGAAAAATGCTGAAGAGGATCACATTTTGGGCAAGTATAGCTTTATGCCTGAGTTATAAGGCATAAAAGGAATTAAAGTGTCAAGTGGTGTGCAGACGCTAAGGAGAAGTTTCATGCTGCCTTTTTACTCATTACTCTTTGAGATATGGTTGGTCTTTGCTGGTGGTACATGGTTCTGAGTAAAGGTCATTTGGTCTCTAAGAAAGAGCATTGAGGAAGGCCATATTACATTTAATTTACTTGAAGCGTTACTGGCTTCAGCGTTAAAAGTGCTAGCATCTCCTGACTGTTTGCTAGGCCAGAGAAGGGTTTGAGGCTTCTTCTGTTTAGTGGAAACAAAGACCGAGATCTCTTTCATCCTGAAGTATCCTCCTTAACCTATAAGGGTACTAGTCAACTGCTGTTAGTGGTGCGTTTTAAGACTCTTGCGTCCCTAGAATATTCAGCCTGCAAGTGTGAGTCCCCAGTGTTCTTATGATAGGCCTAGGCAAGATGCATTCTTCGTAAAGCACCTCATCTGATGTAAAAGTAATGTCAAAGTTTGTTTTCTGTCTTCAGCTGATGGGAGAGAGGACAGTGTAATACCTGTAGGATAGCAAAAGGTAAACCCATAGAACAGGGAAGCTATCTTTTTGAGACACTTGGGTACTTCCTTTCAGATAAGGAGTGAGTTCCATTTTTGTGTTTGCTGTGTCAATTTGGTTGTAGGTTTTTTTTTTTCTAAACAAGCAAACACTTGGCACCACAAAACTTCAGGCTACTTCATTTAGAGCAGCCAAGCTTAGAATTTTTTTTACTTAAAATAATCATGTGTGATAGAGTTTTTGACCGTAGGAATGATGCAAGCCATTCACTGCTGTTGTTCTTCCTGTTACAGACCCTAATGTTCTTAATTAGAGATTGGAGTTATCCTTATGAACATGCATATGGTTTGGAAGGAGGAAAAAAGTTCCTAGAGAAAAGATTGCAGGTAAATGATCTCCAGTAGTCCTAGTGTGGTCTTCTAACTTAAGTGACAACTTACTGTCAAGGTAATGATGCACAATGAGCTAACTCTTTGTGCTAATAAAACTCATTTGTGATGTTCCCGCTCATGTGTGGAGTTCTGGGGTTTAGAACTTGACATTTTTAGGTTCAAAAATGAAAGCTTAAACAGACTTTTGTGCTCTTACTGCTTTTAAGCTGATACTTAGTTTTGCAGTACTGCAATTAAGATTATTAGCAGTTCTTACTGTCTTTTGTTTTTTCTTCAGGTAAAGCAAAACCAACATGAAGAGCTACAGAATGTAAGGAAGCATATTCACTCCTGTTTCAGTAATCTTGGCTGTTTCCTGTTGCCCCACCCTGGTCTTAAAGTTGCAACAAATCCAAATTTTGATGGGAGGTTGAATGGTAGGAAGCTTTCCATTGTGTGTTTCTTGATGTAGATCACTGAGTTTATTTTCTTTTATAATGGAAGTTAAACACTGAAATGGTTGGCTATTGAAATGCTTGATTAGAAAAATATAGGGCTAAAAGGTGAAACTACTGAATCTAGAAATGTGCACTGTAGAGGAGTTAAGCAGGCAGAGGGAATGGATATCTTTGTGTCTAGCTGTTGATTGTCATCTGATAACTGGAGACATACTTGAAGGTCATTAAATAAGGATTCCAGAGGGGAGAATTCACAAAATAAAGACTTGACTTTATTAAATTTGAATGTCTTTTCTCTAAGAACTTGCTAAATCAAAGGACAAAACTAGAATGACTTTAAAATAAAAGCTGTAGGCTTCTGCTGCTGCAGAATGAGAGGCAGTCAGGATTCTTCCAGTTGCTGCTTGTCCCCCAACAGAAGGAATGTATCAGAATGGGAAAGGCTAAAAAAGTGTGCTTGTGATAGCAGGACGCCAGCCACTTCTGTGCTGAGGCCACAGACCTGTGGGATTATGGTTCTTACACCATAATTGTTGGTGTAATTGGGGAAATGCACTTTAAGTATTACAAGGACTATGGAAACCTTGTTCTTTCAGTTTGAAGCTAAGATTAAAGAGTAGATAGAACTTACTAAAGCTATACTATGTATTCAAGCCTTTAAATATCTTAAAAATACAGCTGAGAGTTGTGATGCTATGGGTTTTGAAGGGTCACAGGTTATCAGTGTTCCTTTAGGAAATGTAAGATTGAAAACTAACTACTTCTTTTTTTCTGAAATTGATTGAATTTTACTAGATATAGATGAGGATTTTAAGAATGAACTACGGAATTTGGTACCACTACTGCTTGCCCCTGAAAACTTGGTAGAAAAAGAGATTAGTGGATCCAAGGTGACCTGTAGAGATCTTGTAGAATACTTCAAGGTAAGCAAACTCATACTAATTATTTCTGCTAATGGCTTAAAAGAAAGTATTCTAATTTTAGGGCATGTTGTCCCCAGAGAAGGTAAGATATCTAGGCTGATACTCACTGACCAGCTCACTTCTATTTTCATTTAATTACTCTGACTTTCTAGAACTGGCACACAACTTCCTAACAGTATAGCTCTTAGCAAGCTACTATTGGCAAAATGGTGTTTTGGTTTTTTTTCTTTGTAAATAGGCTGAAATACTTCAAGCTGTATTAGACATTTTTTTCCCTACTTTGAAATCCTAGTTTGTCTGGATATGTTGCTTTTTTTTTAAAAAAAAAAAAAAAAAAAAAAGAGGGTCTCATGTAGATTGTACAGATAGAAAACCAGCTCTTAAACTGCTAGGTATGCAGTGAATATTTCAGATACTACCCTCTGGATTTTTAATGTGCAAGGAAGATGCTTTCTAAACACTTGCATGTGCAGCACCACTGTATGCCCTGAAATGTTTGTGTTTCGTACTTGCAGCTGTTAGACTCTTGAGCTGTTTTGGTATCATGGTGACACCAGCAGAAATGTGATAACATAATCCCTACATCACCAGGAATTGGTCTGGTGTGTGTAACCTTTTTTTGAATTGGAATGACTTAAACAATTGGCTTGGTAGGAGAAAGTGGCACTCATTCCTGAAGACATTAATTTTGCATTACCACTTTTGAGCATGCATGTTAAAGGTAGAACAGAGTTGGGCTGATGTTAAGAAAGAAGGTACACAAGGGAGGAATCTGAGACCAGAACTCTTTAACATTTATAGAATGAAGTAACTTTATAAAAAGGAAAGACATGATATGGGATGCAGAAGTCATGGCTATTCTGACAAGCATAAAATCAACACTCTGGAGCTCAGATGTTCAGTCTCCATATTTACACAGTTGCATGCTGCTTTTTGTTCCACTTTCTTCTCTAGTAAGACCTATACAGTGTAGGGAGTGCACATGCAACAGCAGTTTAGAAAGGACTGCACCCTAAAAACTGAGTGTGAAACCTCCTCTAGTGAAAAGCTGTCCGATTCACATCCCATATCTAGTCTGGGAGCAATCATGCAGGGTGCTGCAGAAACACTGTGGTTATGCAAGTAACGAGGACTGCTCCCTTGGGACTGTGCATCTAAAGCTGAGATTGTGAAGTCTGAGTTGGAAACTGGAGGGCTTTTACTTGGAGGAAATAGCTACAGAAGCAAGGAGAGTGTCAAGGGAATGGAGTCCTGTATAACTCTATAAACTTTCGTAGGTTGTCCTACAACCTAGAGCATTGGGTATAGAGGGACCCTGATAACCTTGTTCTCTCCTCCTTTACAGAGAAAAATCCTCAGGGCAGAGGCTTGTAGACAAGCCGGGGGGAAAGCAGTAGTATCATGAAGAAGAACTACTGCCCAGCCTCCAAGGGGCTGAGAGCGGCCTTGTTGGTCTAACTGGCACAGCTTGTCCAAAGTGCTGGAATAGCTACTGCTGCCTGCTATGCCCCCTCCACTAACTAATCTGTCCCAAAGAGCTGTGCCATGAGCGATCTTGTGGGCTGGAGAAGATGACATGAAGGACATGTTCTCTTCCAGCCTTCTGAAACCCTAGTGAAATAAAGGACACCTGAGGATTGGTGGGGTGGGGCACAGAGGGAGAGGCTGCCTGCTTGGCTTCCAGAAGTATTTTGGCAGCTCAGCTCTGTCTGCATTAGTGCTTTGATCTGGTTTTTTTCCTCCCACACTTCAAGGGAGTAAGGCATATGGGGAAATATAAGTACTGGTTCTCCCAGCACTGGGGTGTGTTTGGACACACCTCTTCACCTCTTGCCAGAAAGGCTTTGTGAGATAGTCATCTTCACTCTTTTGTTTTGGGTGAAGATTCCCTGCCTAGCAAAGACCTTCTCGTGTATTTGAGGGAGCAGAAACCTGCTGTCAAGCCTGTCACTTCTTGAGATAGTGGCCATGTCTCCTCAAGGTGCTCTGCTACCCTACTAGGCCCCAGCCTCAAAAGCACAGGAAAGTAAAGGGATTAAAGCACTAGGGATAACTGAGAATGCCAGACTTGTATGAAGAAACTTGCTTAATTTAATGTTTAGCATTATTACAAAGAAATAATCTATGAGCTCTATCTCTGTATCATTTCTCTTCTCTCCTTCTCCTCAATCATAAATGTTTAGGAAAAATAAACTTTTTCCTTTCTCCCATTTAGGCTTATATTAAAATTTACCAAGGAGAGGAGCTACCTCATCCAAAATCTATGCTGCAGGTATTTTATTTTTCTTTCAAAAAATCTGATAGATGATGTGTATTAAGTTCTCTGCAATTGAAGATCATGACTGCTGTGGGTCTGAAACTCCTGCACGCAGAGCTGTAGTTCTTGAAGGAGCTGTGTACTTTGAAAGCCATCTGAACTGCATAGCCTGTGTACATGTTTGTGTCTTCCATCAGTTCCGTCTACCAAATGGAACAGGACTTTTGTAGGACTTGGGGGTTTTTTTAAGCTTCCTGTGTCACTTCATTAAGACATGACTGTTCTGGGTGATTTCTCATCCTTCAAGGAACCAAATCTTTAGACTTTTGGGGGAGTTCAGAAAACTCATCACAATGAAACAAAGGCTGCTATCGTTTCCTCTACTTAGCATGCCATAAATATGGCTGGGAGAGACAGAAGATGACATCTTGCAGCATTAGGTAGAATAACTGTCCCTGATATGACACAGGTTGAAAATAATCTTAAATTCTTATAAATTCTGACATGAGAACTGCACATATATATTGCAGAAATAATACCAGTTTGCTTCTTTCCTCACAGGTAGTGATGTATCAGGGTTAACACTTAATAGTTTAGTGATCCTTATTTGCTTATTAACAGTAGAGCATTCAGAAGAGATTGCTCATGATGCAAAGCCTTGTATAAGCACATGGGAGTTTGTCTGCAGCTGTACTAGAAAGCTGAAGAGAACATTCTAGTCAGTAATCTGTTTTAATGTATATACTCACTTTTTTTACATACTTTTTTTTAATGTATATCACTAACTTTCACTTGTTTTTGTGGGGCATTTTTCTGGCAAACTGAAGCTTTGGAGGTTGTGGGGGTGTGTATGTAACTAGCTGGTAATGCTGTGATGATACATGGTGCTCAATGTTTTCTAGGCAACAGCTGAGGCGAACAATCTTGCTGCTGTGGCAGGAGCAAAAGACTTGTACAGTAAAGGCATGGAGCAGGTATGATGACACCACTTCTTCTAACTGCCTGCGTGCACATACAGGCCTTCAGTTTTAATGTTATACTTGGTGTTGGTTGTGAGCGTGTTAATGGAGGAAAGTAGCTCCGGGCCAGTACTTGTGTGTTTTCTGCACTCTGCTCTGAGGTCTGTTGCAGCAAAACCAGGATTCTTTGAGACAGAAATTGCTGGGGAGGTATGGGAATGGGCATGTTTGTAAGATACCACCTGTTAGTTCCCCCTGCTGCTCTTGGACAGACATCTTAAAATCCTGTGACATGAAATGGGCAAACAGGTGAAGAGACATTTGGTGTGCAAGGGTGGAGTTCTAGTATTATAGTCTCATGCTTCTGAATTGTGGTCATTCATTCTGTAAAATGCAAGGATTAAATTTTTTGTAAATTTAAAAAAAAAACCCTCTTGAAATATAAGAATTATCTTGTCTGAAAAAGCTGTATATGTAACTTCCTACTTGCTTCTTCTTGAAGACAGTGAGTTATACCACTCCAAGCTGAATGTCTGGATGGACTTTGTACTTCAATGTAGTGTTATGCAAGGTTTTATCATAGCAAATTCTGAAAACAATTACATGTCTCATAAAGCTTAACCAGGACTATGCTTATTGTGAAACTCTACAACTAGAAAAGACCAGTAGGTGCGATAACATGCTACAAACATAGCTCCCTAGTAACTAGGCTAATTCTGGTCTTAATTGCTGAAGTAGCTTTCCATTTTGAAATTAGAGTAAGGCCTAATGCTAGTGGCAGACTAGCCAGTTCCAGTTAGGCTGTTTTGAGAATGCTCTGCTGGTGTAGAGGGACTCCTTTGTTTCCATTTTGGAAAATCTCTTGAAATAGTAAATGCGTTTTTTTATAATAAATGCCAAGTATGCCTTCCTACCTTGAATCTTCAATGGCTGTTGAGATACTGTAGTTGTAAGGTGTCTTACTTGGGGCAAGGAATAAACAGGAACAGATGTTCTCTTAAACAACCTTTGTTTCCATAGTAATGTTCCTCAGTACTGTATATTTTTATATCACTGTAGAGATACACTCAAATGTCTGAATTGTTTTTTATCCAGATGTCTCAGATTATGTTCTTAATGTGACACAGCTCTGAAATTTCTATTTTTAGGAACAGAAGTGGGAACTCCTTGGATTTAAGACTGGATTATGTAAAGATAGTTCTTACTGTAGCTTCTGAGTTCTACTCATGAACCAAAGCCCTTCTTTGAGCGTGCATAACCAAAATACCGTCCCCCCAATGACCTTAAATGTAAGGAACAACAGGTGCAGTCACACAGAGTATAAGAAAACAGTGGCAGTTATTTGTGTGGTGGTCTTGATGCATCAGCAGCTCCTAGTGTATAACACTCTGGGCAATGTGAAAAGTTTTGGAGAATGAGACTGGTAGCTGTTTTCTAGGGAGTTTTGCCAAATGTGGAGGACTTCAATATGGAAGAAGAAGCAGAAAGGTGCTTGTTAAACTTGAGCAAGGGGCAGAGTTGGGGTGTCAGGATCTTGACAGTGAAGTTTGCCTTGAAGCTAGCCAGTGAAGCCATGCATACACTGAGAAAGTGATCTCCTATGTGTGCTGCTGAAGGGATAGCAGCAGGAGAAAGTTAAAGTTGTTCCTGCACTCAAGACATGAGATGACAAGCACTGTGGTAAGACTACCTTGAGGCAGGAGAGGCAAGGCTGTTGTTTGATGTCATATGGAAAGAATCTTCAGTTTTTAGACATAGTCCAACTGTGAGGGTCTGGAAGAGTTGGAGCTGATCTGCCATATGTATGTCTCTGATGGCCTAGGTAATCTCTAATCATAGTCCTCCAGAGGTCAGAAATCAGTCTTACAGAGTAGAAGTCCTTGGAGTCTAACCATTTTCATACCCATGCTGATTCAGGGAGAGGAAGGTGGTGAATGTCCACATCATGGGTATCGGAGTCCATGGTCTCATCCCTTCAGCAGAAACATACTCTCACAAGTTGGTCAGAATCAAGCATAGAGGACAGTCTAGGGAAGAACAGGCTAAAAATGTCAGCTGCTAGTTCTTGTTAATTTATATCACCTGGTAAGTTCCATGGAGCCTGCTAGTGGCAGCAATAACCTTGTTGAGTGGGCAAAATCTACCCTGTTTGTCCAAGTTCTGCACTGACCCTCTCACTGAGATGGGTGAGCAGGAGTAAAAAGCTGAGGGGAGGGCTTGTGGCCTTCAGAGTTCTCCTTAACCTTCCTCAAGCCAAGCTTTCTCTGCCTCCTGGTGTTCCTTCACTTCACATTTTCATAACAGGAATGTACCTGTGGCTGATGTCCTGTCCTTCTGGGCTTGCCCAAAGGGAACGGTTGAAAGGATGATGAGTTCAGTCACATGCTATAGCTCTGTATGTGATTAGACAGATAAGGCTCTTGCTGTGCCATGATGCAAAGTACCTTTAGCTGCTTCACTTGAGAGAGGACTCTAGAGCCAAGAAAGCTGCAGGAGGTAGCCTGATGCTGGCTTTAGAGGGGGGCAGTAAGGAGCAGGTTTACTTTCTGTACAGCAGAAGATACTCAGGATGTGATGACTTCGTCTCTGATTGCTCTAACAGGTTTGTGGGGGAGATAAGCCTTACATTGCCCCATCGGACCTTGAGCGGAAGCACCGGGATTTCAGAGAGTCAGCTGTCAGACAGTTCTGCTCGGTGAAGAAGATGGGAGGGGAGGAGTTCTGTCAGCGCTACCAGGAACAGCTCGAAGAGGAAATCGACGAGATCTATGCAAACTTTGTGAAGCACAATGATGGCAAAAACATCTTTTATGCTGCTCGTACACCAGCCACTCTATTTGCAGTCATGTTTGCCATGTATTTAACCTCAGGACTGACTGGGTTCCTTGGTATGAACTCCATAGCTACCCTGTGTAATCTTGTGCTGGGGATGGCTCTTATATCGTTTTGTACTTGGGCATACGTTAAGTACTCTGGGGAATTCAGAGAAGTTGGAACAGCCATTGATCAGATCGCTGAAGCTATTTGGGAACAGGTTGGTATCTGTTTTTAACACAAAATCTTCCTTTCCTGAGCAGACATATCAAACAGTTTCTGTTCAGTGCTGTGAGTGTAAAGCTATCTAGAGTTAATGGAGAAAATGCTAGTGCTGCCAAAGGGAAAATCAGCTCAGAAGTGTGACTGTTCTCTTCAGTAAGAGATGCTGCACACACAGAATGTTAAATAAGCTTAGGATATTATCAAAGGCCTTACTAGGTGCTTGGATGGTAAAGAGTGGAGGAACTCTTTAAAAATCTTGTTACCTGAAGCAAGGAATTCTGCTTCTAAAGGTGTGTTTAAAGTGATAAACTAGCCCTGTGGATGTGGTGGATAAAATATCTCAGGTGGTGCAAGAAATGGGGAAGGCAAAACACTGCTGCCCTCCCTCACCTCACCTGGTGGTGTGACACTGGAGGGCTAATTAGGCTGATGACTTGCAGCAACTGCTACATGAGGTTGTACAGCAAGTTTCTTCCTTCAGGAGGACTTGTGTTGTCTGTGACAACTTCAGTTGGTGCAACTGCTTTTTCAAGAAATACTTGCCAGACAGACTAATTCCTGAAAGAAAAGACAACACGAGTGTAAGAGTACCAAAGCTGGAGGAGAAAGCTTTCTGTACAGAGAATTTGGTGCCTGAATCCAGTTGACACAGCTGTGTCAGTAAAGTCAATGTAGAGAATTTCTGACCAACTCTTACAAGTAGTGTTTGGAGCATTCCGAGTAGCTATGTCCAGTGCCAGCAGAAGGGAAATGCTTTGGTGCTGTTGTTACTAGAAATAAAAGGCTCACTACCTGGGATAACATTAAAATGGGTCCTACAAGATGTGAGCAAATAAGTAACTGGAGCCTTCTATACAGAGGCTCTCTTCCACATCTGAAAAATTACTCTGTTCAAGGCAGATCATAGGCAGTGGTACACGAGACCTATCTGAGCAACCAGGTAAGGTTATGAGTTACACTGGAGCAGAAAAAGAGGATTTCTAATAATAGGAGGGAAATGAGCATCAAGGTGCTAAATTTTGAGTTACACCCCTAACTCGTGATTAAAATTGAGGCTCTTCTGTACCACCATAGCTTCTTGCTTTGGAGCTTGGGGCTGAAGAGCACTGCAAGAAAAGTGGAAGGTATCAGTTCTACTTGTAGCACTTGCTGAGTGCAGCTGCTGCTGTAGGATACCTAGAGCACGTAAGGCTTGATTTGACTGTTGACCTTCCCTGGAAGGGGAGGAACTTGGCTTATGCTAGCAGGAGCTGGCCTTTTGTGGGCTAGAGGAAGGTGGTCTCTAAAAGAGCTTGCTGGTGGTGTTACTTCAGCATCAATAATATGTGCACCAATAACATGCAAAGCAGCTACAGGTCCTTTCTAAGTCACTCTGATTATATACCATGTTCTTGCTATTGATTTTTCTGAATCTCTGCCTTTTTTTTCCTTCCTTGCTTCAGAGGAATCCCAGGAAGGTGAGAAGTTACTGGCAATCAGTTTCTGTTTCTGAACTTAAGATTAACTTTTTCTGCTGCCTTCCAAGAGACGCTTTTCCTAACAGCTGAATTCATATTTTAGGTGTTTTCCAAACTCTTTGAAGTCCTTAGACGCCGAACAATTCGCCGTGCTCTTACATCAGTGCCACGACAGCGACTCTCATCCAACAATAACAAGAAGAAAAACTAGCCAGTATTTTTAACTTTCTTTCTGTATCTGAAGTGTTCACACTTACACATATAGGACAATAAGCTGGACCGTCTGGGCCGGTCTGCATAAATGCTGTAACCATACCAGACTGCTGCATATAGGGTATGGAATTGCACATCCATCTTCTAGGAACTGTAAAGTGGTTTGACTTCAGTGAAATACTGCTGTATAGGAGGGATATCACTTGTGTTTATAGCATGTTACTGATTTAACCTCACTACTGTAGCAGCAAAACTCATTTCTCTTTCAGTTCATGCCAGTTTGTGTCAGACTTCAGCATTCTAAGTTTTTTTCATTATTTCAAGTCTCATCTCTTTGTGTGGTTTTGTATTTTATTTTCCTTGGTTACCTCATTTTTTTTTTCTTTTGCACATTTCTCATTCCACAGGTGTTGAAGCCTATGAGTGATAATTTGATGGAGGATCATATGAGGCAGTCTGTAAAAAACTCTATCAAAGCAGGCCTGACCGAGCAGGTGTCTCACCATGCCAGACTAAAGACAGACTGACAGTTCATCTCCTCTTCAACTCTGCCCTCTCATCCTATACATGCTTGCTGTACCATGAGAACTCAATTTAAAAAAAAATAAAATAAAAAAAAAAACCAAAGTTTACAATCAACTGTAGAAGTAGTTTAGTGTGACTGGCTTCACAGATTGCTGTGAAGACTGCTTCTTACCTGGGAAGAGTAAGTTTGTCAGTGCTCTGCTTGTAAGACAAACTGGTGCCATGAAGACCGCTGGGGGTGGGAGGGAAGGTGTCTGTTTTACATATAGTCCTGGTGAACTGTGCACGTGTATGTTTGGGGGGGTGTCAGGGGGAGGGATCTTCCCCCAGTGTTTGAGTTGATGCAGTCTCTGGCTTACGCTGGGAATCTGTCCTCTGCAGGAGGTAATTTCAGGGAAGTATTATGACCAGACCCACATATGGTATGCTCTCACCAAATGTACCCAGCTCCACATCCTCTCGCCACCTCTAATGAGTGTTTGTGTGTGTCGAGTGTATCAAGTCGGTGAAGCCATTAGAGCCACTACAGTACAATATGTATCTTGCTTTATTGCCTTTTATACCAGTGTTACACAAATGCATGTACTGGTTCCTCACGCTGCTGACGGCAGAACTGACTTGTGAGGGAGGCAGTGGGTCAGAGCATATAGTGTCTTGCCTTGAACTTGCAGACCTGGTCCCAAGGGAGGTGCATATCAGAACTGAGCTGTCTTTTTCTGCAGTTTAGCCTTCATGTATATAATATTGCCATTAATTCTACTGGGGGAGAAATTCCATCCAAAAACGTTGCCTACAGCTACCAAGCAATGAGTTAGGATTGTCTGTACAGTGTGTTTAGTTTTTATTTTTTAAGAAATCACAGATAGGGCATGTATATGAAATATAAATATATAAATACAATTTTGTATCAAAGTTTTGTAGTTTATGGCAAAACCTGGTTCTGTGGTAGCTAAGTGCAGTCCCTGTAAAGGAATGTTTGTGGCTCATGTAAATGTGTGAATGCATCAACAATTTGAAGTTTTTTGATATATTTGTGATATTTACCTGCCTTGAGCACTGCAATCTCTCACCCCCTTGGGAAAATCAATGGGAATGTTTGTTGTGAAACTCTTGTCTTCTGTTGCATTTTAAAGTTATTTCCTGTAATTTATTTTCAGTACATGATTAAAATCAGTTGTGTATATATGAAATGAAATTCGTGCTTATTTTTAAAAGATGTTCAAGTATGTATTCTACTACATAAACTGTCAAATACTTATCCTGATGATTATATGAACAAATTGTCTATTGTATTTCATAGCTTTCAATTGAAGCTGATGTTCCTCTCATGCTTGTCTCAGAAAGATGACATCTGTCTAGCTCATATCCCCTTCCTCTATAGGAAAACTTTCTAGTATTCTAAAGCACGCTTCTTGACTTGTGGAGTTGCTTGTCAGCTTCTGCCCTCCAACTGTATCATTCTGAAATCTTGTTACTGGCTCTATTTTCACTCTTGACTAAGGTCTTTTCAGATGTGTGGAGTGTAAAGGCAGCTAAATAATTAACTGCTGTAGTTTCAGCTGGAAGTGACTGTGTGAAATAGCTGGGTTTTTTTGCATTCCTAAATGGTAACAATTTCCATCAACATTTGAGCTTCATCACTCTCCCCTCTCTTGAGTGAGGGAAATCACCTGTCTAGGACTAAAGCAATTGCACTGTGACTTTTGTACCATAAAGAACTGCTGGGGAGTGGTGGTTACCTGCCCTCTGGAGATGAGGGCTCAGCTCCAGGTGAATGATGCTGAAGATGAGGTAGGAATGTCACATTTTATGATATCTTCTCTCAAACTGTACAGATTAAATACAGTTATTTAAACAATTCAATGCTTTGGTGATGAATCTCTTTATTAGTCAAATGCCTAGAGTCACATATGGGAGGGCTATGCTTGCCTTTGCTTGTGTTCTCTGCGAAGGTATGAGTCAGATATGAGGCTGTGCCATGCCCTGCAGTGATGGTGAGAGCAGAATTCTGTCCAGGATGTGGACAGTGAAGCTGTAAGACTTTATTGAGACTCTGAAATGGGGGCTGTAGGGGGAGAGTTCCTGAACACTGTGCCAAGGAGTTGCAGAATTAATGCAGAAAAACCCCCCAACTTTGTGGGAAGGATCAAAGTCAGGAAAAGGGAGGGGCCAAGGTGATTTTTTGGGAGGAGCAAGTGTGGGAAGTAGAGGATTAAGAGGATAAAAGGGGCTGGTCATGTGGCAACAGGTTGCTGGTTGGTGTTCATGTCTGTCCTGTTTTCTATGTTAACTCCGTTTCTCACCCTCTTCCTGGGAGAGAGGACTTGCAGGAGAACACTTCTGCGTGCATGGAGGTCTAGGTGCCAGCAACTGGAGTGGGACCTTGGGTCACAGAGGCTGTTATGTTTGAAGCACCAGCAAACTGGAGACTGGGAGTGAGTGGAAAGCAAGTACCAGCAACTGCAGAGTGAGCCTGTCTGTCAGTGTATGAGTATCAAGCCAGACTTAGCCAAGTGAGGGACCTGGGAGCCACGTATTGAAGCAGCCCTATTTGCTGGGTTGGGTACGCATCTATTTCTGCATGAAGCAACTAGAGGGACCAGGAGGCCTAGGCAAGCTGTTGGGGGGGTCTGGGGTTCAACTGGGACCTATTTGTATGTGTGTGCCTCCCTCTATGGGAGGCAGCTAGAAACAAGAGGCTCCAAGGGCCAGTTACAGGATTGACTTGTGCCTGAAGGCCAGTTACTGAGGGCATCTGCAGTGGGTGTGTGCAAGGGTGGGCAGAACCAGCAACCGGTGGGGGGCTGTGGGCCATGGTCCACATGCCAGCTACTGGAGCAGACTGGTGATCCAGAGGCCAGCTACTAGATGAACTGAGCCTCCCTGCCAAGTTACTGGAGGGACCCACAGCTTGTGTCTGTGTGTATTTCCCACTAACAGCCCTTCATCCTGATCAGCCAGAGAGGGACAGGATAAGGGTATTGGTGCTGTTTGTGCCAGTGCTGAATGTTGCCCTGTATGTGTGGCATGAACACGTGTTGTGTGCTGGCTCAGCCTTGCCGCTGGTTGCACACTGGGGGGCATGAAGCTGTAGGAGCCTCACCTCTATTGGGCAACCCTTACAATTAGTATTCTTAGTAAAGTAAGGTTAGTATTTCTCAACTTTTGCCTGTGTACTGTTAAGAACATCAGGCTTGTGCACAGAACAGGTACAAGGGAACAGAGGAACTTTAGTGGAATACACGGGGGTGTAAAGGAGATACTCACTTTCTCTCTCTACCTGGGGCTACTCTGCTACTGACTTGGGAAAGGAGCTCTGAGAGCTGTTCCAGTTTTGTGCCAACTGGTGGTACACTAAGGCCTTGCTTCCCCCATCCTCCCCAAGCAAGCAAAAATCAATTTAACAGAAAAAGCATAGAGTAACTTACCCCACACCAGCAGTAGAGTTCTGGCTAACTCTTGTCTCAGAAAGGATACAGCAGAGCTAGGTAGGAAAGCTATGGCAGATACTACAGCTGGCAAAGTACAGCATAATGCTGGTTAGGAGAGATGACTGGGAAGATGTAACAACCTACAGAATCAGAAAGGGGTGGAGAAGGCAACAAGATAAAAGATACTTGCTCTTATTTTTTATTTCAGGAAATGCTGATTAAAATGTACTTCTCCAGCTAGCATCAACTTAAAATGGCACTCATCCTCACAGGTGCCTGCTCAGGTCCCTGGGTTCCTTGGGAAGGGAAATATTCACCAGAGCAATGTGTTTTCTGGCTCCAGAAAGGCATAAACAACAGGAAATTTCTTTCCTGGCTATCTTGTAACTCAATTTTCTTAGAGCAGGCTAGGGCCAGGCCACAGATTTTTCCTGTAGAGGGCTGACTGTTAAACTCAAGTTAAGGAAACTAAAAAGTACATCAGGTAGCATGGCACAGCGACAACAAAAGCGGGGAGAGAAGGAAGCCCTGTATTTTATGAACCTAGATATACTGAGTGTCAAATGTTTTTTTTCAATTGTGCTAGCCAAGTATGGCAGTATCTCAAAACTCCCTGCCTGTTACTATCTTGGGTTAAAGTAATTAAGCACAGGTTATGGTAAAACTTCCTTTTTTTTTTATTGAAAAATTTGGGTGGGAGTAAAGACATTATTTACACAAGTTCCCAAGTGCAGCTCAACTCAAGAACATACGATCAGCAGTATGATAAAAGGTTGTGGGTCCAAAACAGAATTATGGAGGCTACTACATAGTATGAGTACAACTCCATGGTAAACACAGACCTTCAGATAAGATCAGCAACTGAAACGAGAGAAAAATGAGAGAACATAAGTATGCACTGACTGTGCTGAGAACCACAGCCCAGCAGTACAGCACCCCTACTGCTGTTCCCAGGTTCTTTCCCAGTAGAAGCAAAGATGGGTCAGGCTTGGGAATGAGGCACGTGGCAAAACAAAGGATCTGGCATTTCTCTTTTAGATGCAGCACACCAGTTCCCGACTGAAGGAGGGCAGCAGCCTTGCTGGGGCTGGCTTGCACTCACCATTCATAGGCATCTCATCTATCTGGGTGGAGTAGTACTGCTCAATGTCTCGCAGGATGCGGATGTCATCATTCTTCACAAAGTTGATTGCTACACCTTTTCGGCCATATCTGCCTGACCGGCCAATTCTGCAGAGGCAGAAGGAAAGAGAGAATGGAGCCACCTTGGGGAAGGGTAATCCAGCCACACTCCCCCAGGTGAAGGCCAAGCTTACCTGTGTATGTAGAGTTCTCTGTTGTTGGGTAAGTCATAGTTAATGATCAGGGACACTTGAGGCACATCCAGGCCTCTAGCCCAAACATCTGTTGAAATAAGGACTCGGCTGCAAAGAGAAGGGGATGGTTACAACTGTTCCACCCCACTGAGGTAGGTGTGAGAGCTGAGTTGTACTCTCCAGCACAGGGCATCCCCTGCTATTCTGCGCTCCTCCCTCCCCACATCTCCTTGATGCTGCAAGGGAAGCTGTTCTGTGCAGCATCATCAAACTTCAGTGAAGACAGATAGTACTGAAGCAGCTTTGATCTTTCAGAAAGAATATGATGCTCCTAAGAGTTTAAAATAGAGACCAGAGCCCAAATATTTTTCTTCCTTGACATATTTTAAATGCAGCAACTCCCAACCTCTTCAGCAAAATAAACCAGACTAATTCTATGCCCGCAAGTATGAGCATCCCTCCTTGGAAAGTGGCAATCTCCCAACCCTGTGACACCACAGGAGACAGATGGGAATCAGAGCTCTTCTTAATTTGAGCTCAACAAGGCCTTCAGAGAGGAGAGGTTTTATGGGTTTCTGAGGCCTGTTCCTTTCAGATGCTAGAAGAAATCCTGCCCTGAGGTAGCAATGCTGTAAGCAACAACGTTTAAGGCATTTACCTTGCGCCAGATCTGAACTCTTTCATAATGGACTCTCTCTCCTTCTGTGGCATGTCCCCGTGCATGGATGAAACTGTGAAGTTGGCTTCTCTCATCTTCTCTGTGAGCCAGTCTACCTGTGCATACAGCCAAGCAGCCTGGGTTAGCTCTTTGCTCAGGACAGCCGAATGCACTAGCTGTACTTGGAGAATGTTTGCAGAGACATATGCTGGTAAGGACTGAGACACTTTAGCAAGCATTCTGGAGCTAAAGGAAGTAAATAATCCTTACAAAGCATTAGCTAAATGATACAGGGCTCCACAAGCCCTGAAAGGAAAGGAATTAAGGGCATTTATTCAGAAAGTGTGGTTTCGTTTCACAGATTATAAACAATTAGAAGAATAAGCACATTCTTACTTCATCAGTTCTGCTTCTCTATAAGGGCAACTAACTATATCAGGTCTGCCTACAACCAGTTGTTTAAGCTAGGCACATCCCAAAGACAAATGTTTAACCTCTGTTCTTACTAAACTATTCCCAAACGGGGAAACAACCAGACCTCTTAACTGGGTTTGTCCTAGCATTCTCCTCCAAGTCACCCTCTGAAAGTAACATGCCCATCTTTGGCTGCTGTACCTTTCTCTTGGTGTTACAGAAGATGACAGCCTGGGTGATTGTGAGTGTGTCGTAGAGATCGCACAAGGTGTCAAACTTCCATTCTTCCCTCTCCACAGCCACAAAAAACTGCTTGATTCCTTCAAGGGTCAGCTCATCACTGCAGGGAAGAACAACAGCTATACCACACCACAAGTAGGTGAATATATACAATGCAGTTAGAAGGGCTCGGTGTGCCTCAGCAGAGATCGTGCCTCTGCGCTGTGGGTTGCTGGGTCTATACACAAGTCAAAGTTGTTGTAGGAAGTCCCTGGAGAAGTCTGCTCCAAGCAGGGCCTCCAACGCGACACATGCAACAGAGAGTAGAACTCCCGGGGCACCCTCTCTGCTCTAGGCAGACAGCTTTAAAGCAAATCATTTCTGTTCTCATCGTTTTTACATTCAAGCTTCTTGACAAGAGACTGAAAAAATGTAAATGGGGCAGCGTAAGGGATCAGGCAAGAGGGAGGTTCCTCCTGTGAGCTTGCCTACACTTACTCCTCTTGACTCCCGCTGAGTTCCAGTGCGTGAGGACCTGTGACACCACCAGACACAAGCTACACTTCCAATGGCATTCAGGATCAGTCAGCTAAAGGCTTTTTTAACTTGCTATATAATAGCAAATTAATGGAGAAGGCCTACAAAAATCCTCTGGAGGAGCACAGGAATTGGGTAGGTGTGAAACATGAATTTCCAGGAGAAGAAACTGCTATACATGGGGAGGATGAAGGGGTGGGGGGCAGTCAGGCTGAGCAGCAGTAAACAGGACTGGACAAGGATAAAGTCAGAGAGACAAGTTGGCCTCTGCTGGAAAACAGGACATGAGAACGTCTGCAAACACCCAGACAAACTACAATGGTGAGAAGGAATGTGAGAGAGACTGCATGTTTAAATCAGTTAATACTGTGAACTGCCCAGAGCTGGACCAACCCAAAGAGCTCCTCTTCTTTCCACAGAAACTCACTCACCGTTTCACCAAGATGCGAATGGGGTCTGTCATGAATTTGTTGGTCATCTCTAGAATTTCATGAGGCAAAGTGGCACTGATCAGAACCACTTGTGTAGCTGGAGGCAAGTATCTATACACATCATAAATCTGCTCCTTAAAACCTAAAAAGCAAATCAAGTAGCACGGAACAGTTAACACATCTTTCTCTTGAATATCCTACTCTTTCACAATTTGATTTGGAATTCAGTATTGGGCCTATGCTATGAGATGAACATTAATGAGTGAATCAGTAACTCAAAGCCGGTGTCACATACCGCTCATCTCTTCCTAATTTTCCCAAACCCACTAATGTGGCTGTGGAACACAGTAAAGTATGAAAGGCAGTGCTCAAGAATTTATAACTATTGAAAAAGACACTACAACTAAATCAGACAAGACTTATTCAGTAGTTTAACCTGTTACAGCCTATAATTAACTATAATTGTCTAACTTTGACAAAACCAATTGTTTTTAGAATCATAGAATCATTTAGGTTGGAAAAGACCTTT